GACCCGCATGCCTGCTTGAGGCAGCAGCGAGCCGTCGGGAGCCTCCAGCAGCCAGCCTTCTGAACCCCAGCAGTCGTGCCGCGGCAGCACGCCAGCTAGCCGGGGTGACCCCGCCATGCCCACAAGCCAGGCCCCGGCTCAGGCCGCACCCACCCAGGCACGCCCACACTGCGTCCAGCCCTACCCTCCCTTGGGACGCGCTCCCCACATACCTCTAAAAGCGGCATGGCGCCGCGGTGGGCGTGAGTCACGGCAGCATCCCTGGCCACCACCCCCGCCCGCACCAGCTTCTCCAGCTCAGAGACAGTGAAGGGGCCCTGCAGGAGGTGGGGGCGGCGGCAGCAGGAGCCGTGCGGCGCTGGCTGAGCGTGCCAGGAGCTGCCGGCGGGCGTGTGCCACCGCCGCCGGGCCCTTCCCGGTGGCAAACGGGGCGCCGCGAGCCAAGCACGCAAGAACCGCCGCCGCCGCCACCACCACCACCACCACCACCACCACCGCCACCGCCACCACCCCGCCCACCTGCACTGCCGCCGAGTCTGCGTCGCGGTAGGTCAGCACGCGCCCCGCCGCTACGTCGGCCTTGCGCCTCAGCGCCTGCCTGCGCTGCTCCAGCGCCGCCGCCAGCTTGCTGCCGCCGTCGGGCAGCGGCACCACGCCCGAGCGCACGCGTGCCTGCGGGCGCACGGGGCAGGCAGGCAGGGGGGGCGTGCGGGGGGGTCGTGAGGCGCGGGCGCACACGCAGGTGCAGGCGCCTGCGCAAGGAAGGGACCCAGCCAGCAGCCCCACCCCTGCCAGGCACCTCGCAGCTCGCAGCTCAGCAGACCCAGTCTCCAGTGCACACTCGCATGTGCACACACACACACACAAAGCACACCACACACACACCAACACACCAAACACACACCAAACACACTTCACCAACGCACACACCACGCACACACACTACCAGCAGCCAGGGCCCCAGCCCCTCACCAGCAGCTCCTCCTCCCGCTTCACCGCCGCCCGCAGCGCCGCCACCTCCTGCACCAGCTCCTCCGCCGCCTCACGCTGCCGCTCCGCCTCCCGCCCGCCGCCGCCCGCACGCCCGCCGCCGCCACCCCGCTCGTCACGCTCGCTCCCCCGCTCCCGCTCGCGGCTGCGCTCGTGGCTGCTGGGCAGGCGGCGGTGGTGGTGGTGGCTGAGGGGTGCAGCCCCGTTGCCCGCCGGCCGATGCGCCGCGGCGGCCGTGGATGCTGCCTGTGCTGATGCTGCTGGCACCTGCACGGCACCGGCCGGGGCCTGGCGCGAAGGTGCTGCTGCCGCCGCCGCCGCCGCAGGCGCCGCCGCGCGGGGCGAGCGCACAGAGGGGATGCGCAGGGGGGGCTGCACCTGCTGCTGCGCCTGCTGCTGTGCCTGCTGCGCCTGCTGCTGTGCCTGCTGCTGTGCCTGCTGCGCCTGCTGGCGCCGCTTGCCCAGCGTGACGGTGTACCCCACAGGGTACTTGCGACCCAGAGGCTGCAGGTCCGCATGCGGCGGCGGCGCCGCGCCGGGAGGCGCCGCCGCCGCGCG